TTGTTACCCAACTAATATTCATAAGGAAATGGAAATGGATCAGACACACGCTGTTGGGACTCTTGATTGGAATCCGATTGGGTGACCCACAATTCCGCGCATTATTAGCAGGAGACATCCTTACTACAATCATTGTTCGTTCATGGTGTCTCGTTTCTCCATTAACTCAAGTATTGCGTTCATATATATAGCGCATTTTGGAGTCAAGGAAATGTGCATAAATTTTACCCTGAAGATGAAGATTAATTGACGGAAATATTTATTCTGAATAAGGGTTTCTTGTAACAATGCAAATTGAAATCTGTCCAGTATATGTATGTGATACCATCATATTTGAATTAAACCTGTAAATAAACGGAGTGGATATGAGAACAAACAACTCAACGAAGAGACTCTCTTCAGCGAATCGATCCAGTTAGTTGTACAGTCGCAAATATACATATGATTATTGTGGGATGCCAAAAGAAGCCTCCTGGAAACAGTATTTCCGTACACTTTACATTACTAAGACCTTAGCGACTCGGATGTAAAACGCCATTTTGTGCATACAATTAGCCTCTATACCCTCCAGTTCTACACTGGATATACTTGCAAGCTCATTTGTCATAATTATTTTGTTATGACTACTCCCATTTGCACTCTTAGTATGACATTTATGAATGTTATTTTCTTGAATAACCTTTTGTCCACTCTGTCCCCCTGATGCATAACTGTTTTGACATTCGCCTATTTTCTGTTTGATTAGCATCCAATTTTTTTTGACATTTTTTCATGTTATGGAACCTGTTGTCTAAACTTAATAATTTTCCCCCATTTAGTTACAATTCTGACCAGTCTTCACTGTTTTCAATCATTCTGATTATGTAAATTGAATTATCCTAATTTTATGCTGCATTTGTCTGTCTGAATGTATACACAAAAATAATAATTTAAACATTGGTGACTAAAAAGCTGAATGAATGAATTCGTAGAAAGGAGTCTCTTTGACGAGGCTGTGAATTTACTTCCACTGAGATGATTAGGACATGTGTTACGCATGCATGCCTAGCCATTGCCTCCCTCGACGGGTAATGTTAGCTGACGTAGGATGGATAAGGTTGGGAAAGAGACATTGGTAGTCAAACCAAAACATGGCTTCATCAGTCAATAAAGTCCACAGCAGTTAGTTTAGGCCACGTAAGAATGTGTAGATTTCCTGGTTGGGGTATTTGGAATGGTAAACACTAATGGCTTGAGACAGTTGGTGATATGACTTAAAATCATTCTCAATGGCGCAGATCCATCCACTCCTTGTGATTTGCAATGCTCAATAAAACTGTAGAGTTCTTTGGTATTACCTCATATCTGTGTATACTGTCTCTACTTTGCATTTCTTTTCATTTTCTTCCCTTGCTTTGCTTGCTACATGAAGTTTGACAACTCGAACTGCTGCACATTGGTGCAAATTCTATGTTGAAACCAGTCAGTTAGTCAGTCTCTTCGGTGAACTGTTTGTTCTTATTTGCATATACGGAAGGGTCCTTTGCCACGTTTTATAAGATCATTATAACCACAATATATTCATACAAATGGGTTTTCATACTCTATGTAGTTGACGAGTGTAGATGTGCAAAGAGACTGTATGTGGTGCTTACAGGTGGGAAGCAGTAATTCTCCTAGTCAGTTAATTGTGAATCTACGTTAAAAATAAGACTCATGCTTAATATGTTGACGATAATAACAACCTCACTTCACCGATTCAGGCATCATACATGACAGTCAAAGGATATCATTTTAGCCACCTTCATGAGATGCATAAATACCTGCTGCATAGTTACTGCTTCCCTGGTGGTCAAAAACCAAAGGCATAGGTGCTTATGACACTGTAATGACAACTTCAATATCCGCTGGATGTGATAGTGTTGAACGTTTGATTCGCCTTATTGCTCCTTCATCTAGCTAGAGGGACAATAAATGTCTTGAAGAAGTAGTGGGGTCAAAAATCTTCTGAATGGTAAATAAAGCCGTTAACAAGTATGCACTATCTACTCAGAAAGCATTGGTTACATGTCTCAGAAATATTACGGAAATAAAAGGTTGACATCTGTAAGTTTAATTGTGTCAGTATAAGTTAAACTGCTATTCAAAGAAGTGGTATACTCAAAACATCTAAGTGAAGGCTCAGTATAACCGTCCAGTGCATCACACTCCTTAATTTATTTATCTAGCGTATACAAAACCGGTGGTATAATCCTAGTGCTTAAGGTAAAAAACCAACCCTGCATAGGTCGAAGTGAATGTAGGCTCGCAGAAAGTTCAATGCGTACATTTATACTTTATATGAAGAGATACTGTTATTTTTTGACAACTTTGTTGACATCTTCAAAACCAAAACCAAACAAACTGAAAAACGTGGCTACACGAAGTTGAAGTGAACTCAAAGAGACCAATTTCAGAATGTTAGAGATCAGTGTATTCGTTCAAATCCACAATTTTCAGAACTTGAGGATTCTTTATTGACACATCTTTCTGAGCTCAGTCAAACAAGCTAAACACCTGATGAGGTCGATCTCGAGCAAGCGACACGACTATCCAGTGTTAAGATCAATTCGATCTGGTTAACAAACATCACTGCTTCGTATGAATACTATACAACTTTTCATTCCAATCAGTGAATAGAATGCAACATCATGCACTTAGTCAGTTCATGATTTTAAATGTTATTGGTTAAAATCAGAATCTCCCTTATTTTAAGAGGGATATATAGTGAAAAAGATTGGTTTACAATCCCTGTTTGTATATAGATTTTATAAGGAGATAACCAGTTTGATCTACTGAAGAAATAACTGAGTGACATGTTCGGAATATTCCTCGGCTATTTAAAAACCTCTGAAGTGACCATACATTGGATGGTTTAAAGCTGAATGTGGATCGTTTTAGACCTTCCCTTGAGAAGGTCAAAATTGTTTGTACTTTGACAACAATGTTTTCAGGAGGATTATTTCGCTTACGCTCCTGTATTCAGGCTTTTGAAGTGAATACAAGAGTAAGACAAGTCTTTCTGTCTACTATCACTTATGATATTGTGAATTTTGGTGGATTGGATTATGCATCAGACTGGGCTTATGAGTGAGGATACAAGAATACGCTGCATGGCCGATAAGAAGACTCTTAAAGATCTAGATTTCTGAGATGATGTATGACTAATGTCACACAAACTTGAAGACTTACAGGCAAAAAGAAGCAAACTGTCTTTAGAAGCATCTGGCGAAGACAGGTCACCAGGTGAACATAGACACAACGGAGGTGATGAAGGTCACGATCAACCACCACCACCACCACCAATAGCAACAGCAATAACAACCAATACCCCGATCACCAGCAATGGAAGAAACTGTATAGAGGTTACTACTTTCACTTATCTAGGAAGCATCGTTTCATATACAGGTGGAGCGGATGAAGATATCACAGTCAGAATCTGAAAGGTGAGATGTGCTTTCATTAACACTTGAAATCAGTTTGGAAATCTCCTGCACTACACTCTGCCAGCATACTGAACAAGATTCGGATTTTTAACATAAATGTGAAGTCATTCAGTTCTTCTATATGGATCAGAAATTTGTACTGTATGTCGAGAAAAGGATTTCCAACGAGCTACTGTAGACTTTTATCAACAGCTTTCATTTTTGTTGGCTCAATACTGAAGATCAGATGGCCGGTTGGTCGGTCAGTAAGAATTTGGCCATAAGAAACTGTGGCCGGGAACAAATAAACCAGAGGGGGAAGGACTACAGACGGATGGATTAGGCATATGGTGAGGAGATCGTCGAATGACATTGTGCGCAATGCAGGCCATCGCTGGAGTGGAATCCAATGGCAAGAGAGGAGTGGGTCGTCAGTGCGAGGGTGACACGGAGTAAATCGTTTGGGGAGAAGGAGATAAGAGACTATGGTCACACCATGTACCCAGCTGCAAAGTGTGACGTCAAATAGAAGAATGTGGAGATGTTTTGTTAAAGCTCTATGTTCCACTTGGAACCGAAGGGAACAACAATAATTTCGTTTGTGTAAGATTTCTGTGGAAGAAGGTATAACATAATACAACTAAGTCTGTGCACAACACTTAACTCAGTGAAATGAAAACTGACACCACTGAGATCACTTAAGAGACAACGAGCACAGTAACGTTTGGTGGACATATTTTCTCCATGTTGTAATCGTCTCACAAATCTAGAAGTTTGCATCTACAGCTGAAAAATGTCAGTTGATAGTTGAACGTTTTTGTAAATGTAAGTCAGTTAAGACAGACTGTAAGAAATTACAACATCAGTATGTTTTAAAATAGAACAATTTTGTGTTATGCTCATGAATAGGATGGTTGCACATGGGAAGTTATTTTTTTAAATTTTTTTGCATCCTGAGTAAAAAGCAGGGCTTCAAGTTTAGGCTTTAAAGTCTGAGAACCATGAGTGCTTATCTCTTTTTATTGGGGTGGTACTTCTGGCGTCATGCTTAATCTACCTTCTTCACTGAACTCACTACTGGCTAAACGAGTTTAAGGTATACGTCGGGCGGTAATCGAACCCCAGACCACGTGCGCAGTCGACGAGTATTCAATCACTATTTAACCATCAATACTAAAATGATTTTCAATCATCAATTACGACTTTATGCTTACCGTAATCGAAAAAAACATCTTACACAACATTTTAAATATGTAATAAGTATGTCATTGAACAGGTAGAACATAGAAAGCACAAGCACTTTGTATACAAGAGTTGTTTACATTGATTAATGTGCATTTAATAAATAATTGAATGTTTAAGTGCATTTTATTGATATTATCCTCAAGAAGAATTTAAGTTGATGTTTATACAGTAATACGAATGTAATATTAGTATTATAGAGATAAACTAAAAGAGGATTCAATGCATTAGGTTGAATTCGGTAAATATTTCATCACTGAATGACATACAGAATTGTAAACATCCAAATCATACTAGATAATATGATGAAATTATTTACATCAGCATCATCTGAGTGTTTGTCAGTGTAGTAGTTGATACTACTTTCAACACTGATGGTGTGGTTTGTTGTGGAAGAACAGGAAGTTGACTATCACTGTTTTGATGTTCTAGAATATCTGGCATTTCTTTGAATTCTTTTCTGTTGTTGCAAAGGTTTGTAGTACAACAATATGGCCCATGAAAATTTTCAGGCGTACATGATGCAACACACCCTCGCACAATATCGGTGACAGTGGCTTTTATCTGAAATATAAATGAAGTAGGAAAGTTGAAGTATTATTAGACTCGATAACTCAAAACACTTCGTACAGTGTAACATAATTACTGAAAGTCAGAGATGTTAAAGGCCTAAAATCTACCTTGAAGTAGATTTCTAGACGCATTTTGGAAATCAAAATAAGCCACTAACGGTTAACTTTGAATTTTGAAATGATACGCAACAGAGATTTCTCAACATTGGTTGACAGTACAGTTAGTCTGTGTCTCGAATATGTTATCTGAATATATGAAGGATAGTAATAAAGGATTTTGTATTTCCCTATGAATGAAAAACAAAATGATATTACTGTTTTTACTGACGTTTCGATATTTAATGCTACTGTGAATAGCTTTATCAAAATAGTATTATATTAAACCAGAATTTACAAAATCTCAGCTTATATATAACAAATTAATCATCGTTCTTCAGAATGGGGTCATATTTACGTTGTCGAATTGACCAATTGGTGAAGACAACAAGGTGTAGATCATTGGATTTTATAAGCGTATAGAATTAGAAAAACAGAATGCGTTTACATAATGAAATTGCTTATCACATTCGTATTGATTGTTTCATTTCATGGAGTGGTTGTGTGGTGTTATAATCAGCTCTAATTCTGTTAAAGTTCATCAATCCTATTCAGACAATTTGGATTCTACTTGATATGAAGGGCTTCTGATACTAGACGTTCTTTGTGTTGTCAGTAACTTTTCCGGATGATTTTAATATTGTCAATTGCTTTTCATGCTTTTCTAGCTCAACTGAATTCCTCGTTCATCGAACACTGACGCTTTACGGCGTTCGTTTCTTCTGATTTCGATTTCTCCCTGGTGAGGTTTGTCCAATGTATATCGTGTCATATTTCAAGCAGTTTATTTTGTAAACACAATTAGATAAAGAATCTTTAGCGATTTGATCTTTTATATGGACAAGATTGTTTCGCAGTGTGTCTGATGTTTTGAAGAAAACTCTGATGTCAAGCTTATTTAGTACTCTTGTGATATAGCCTGACATCTCCACTCTATATAGAATGACAACTGTTGAGGTCAGTGTTTTTGAAATGCGTTTTCGACCATACTTAATGCCAGTGTTCATTTTGTTGATGAAGTTCCTTGGGTAGTTGTTTTCCTTGAGAGTTTCAGTAATGTTTGATATTTCTTCTTCTTTTTCTTGCTCATCCGTTATCAGAGAGTGTGCTTGTCTAAGAAGACTTGAAACAACTGATACCTTTGCTCTGATGAGGTGTGATGATTTGAAGTCTAAATATATATTGGAGTGGGTTTTCTTGCTGAATATGGATATACAAAAATGTCCGTTTTCCCTCCTCTTAACTAGACAGTCTAGAAATGGCAGCTCACCAAAGTCTGATTCTGCTTCCGAAGTAAACTGGATTCTGGGAGATAGATTGTTCAGCTTCTTCAAGAATGAAATGTGCAGATCTCGTTTTAACACTACAAAAGTATCATCTATAGATCTTAACCATATTTTAGGGATGAGTATGCTTGAAAAGATGTTATCTTCGAATCTATTCATGAAAAGATCAGCGACTATTAGGGAAATTAGAATACCCATAGCAAAACTATCTGATCTGATAATACTTTGATAAAGCTGTTAGCATTAAAAAGCGAAAGGTTAGTAATTACAATATCTTTTTGTTTTTCATTCATTGTTAAATACAAAAAGCCTTTATTATAATGAATATCATATACCTAATGTTCAAATTTTTTCAAATTGTTAAAGGTGAACCTGCTTTGCACATATATAATATGAAGGATTGTGTGAAGTCGTAGTAAACATCATTCTGCGTTAATGAATCTATCCAAAATATTTATACGACATCTGAAAACGTATTAGTCATCTACATGCGATATGCAATATCCCCTCCTCTTATGGCTTTCTATTACAATGCCATTAATTTTCACAGTGAATTCAATGAATCTACATGAATTTAACGCATATCCTACATTCACTTTTATTCATAACTGACTAACCAATCTTCAGCTGAACTTATACACTGGAATTCCGGCTTAATATCACACTTCATAAACATTAAAACTGATCTAGACTCATCAAGTATTGGATTTTGTAGGGATTTAGTTTGATTGGTTGGTAAATTTCATCATGAGTTGACGTCAGTTAGAGAACCACTGGAAAACCATCTGGGAGTACTGGACAGCTGTTTCTACCTATTTTGTGACTTTTCATCAGTATTCACTCAAGCGGGTTTCGAACCCAGAACCCTCTGGTTACAATCCGAGCTCATGTTACGTCATGAATTGGCAGAAGTTAGAAATCATTGGCCATTGGATCGGGTCCTTGTGGCTTAATGGTATACGAGCTTCGCCTTCTGGGCACGAAACCCGGTTGGGTGAATACTGCTGAAGAGTCAAAAACTAGGTGGACGAAACAGCTGTCCAGTACTCCCAGATGGTTTTCCAGTGGTTCTCTAACTGACGTCAACTCATGATGAAATCCTCCAGCCAGTCAACCTAAATCCCTACAAAAAACCAATACTTGAAAATTCACCTGATGCTCACTAGCGACTGGCCCTATTTAGGCATTTAACCTGAGGTTCTAGTGAGAAGCCGTAATCAGTAGGGTGCAGCAGGTTGAAGGTGAGGCAGTAACTCATCGAAGAAGACATTGCGAAATGGTCGCGCTATGTCATGAATTGGCAGACATTATTTTGCAATGAGGAACTTATACGTTTAAAACTATGTAATGAGTACTAATAGCCATTAAAATGAGAAGAGTCCAATAGCTTTCTTCAATGCCCAAGCCGTTTTAGTGTAACCGCAGTATTATCGGTTATAGCATTGAATAACAAGTAAATATATCTTCGAAGAAATAGAAAATGGACAGTGAAAAACTCCTCATATCTATCTATTAACACCACTTGATATATCTCATAGTCATAGAAACCAATATCGAAGACAAAGCTGAAGATGTTTCGCATCGGCCTTAAGCATTAGGCTTTCTACCCGAAGTGTTTCCGGTTCGAATCTCTTGCATCCTACTTCATTGACAAGCTGTCAAAAAATACACATGACTGATGGCTTGTTACACTGAAGAATCTGTACCGAATAATTGATTTCAAGCTAGCAGTCAGTACTAAGTAACTAGTGGTGCAGTGTGTGTGTTTATCACAGAAAACATAATAATTCAAATTGGATTCTTTCCAGTGTCCTTTTGAGAACTTGCATTTCCTTAGATGGACCATTCTGTTTGCGGAATCTAACAGTTTAGGTACGCTGAACTGACAGCTTTAATACGACTTATGTAGAGTGTCACAATGAATAAAAACCACTTAGAAACTATACAAAACACTTATCTTTAAATAAATCTGTGAATATTTAAAAGTATTGATAACAACTTACTGTACATCCACCACAACCATCCACTATGCTTGTGTTTGCATTAACAGTGAAGCAGTCAGTGCAATTGTAGCATTTTATGGGCCCAACTAATAGGTCAGAAAAAAATATTATTGTTTTTTTTAATGTGAAAAAGATAATAAAATATCTTAACTTCCACAAATAACACTTCAGAAAGTAAGACTAGTGTATTGCCGGAGGCAATCGGTAGGAAACCTTGAATATAGGTTTCGTACTAGTTGGCACTCACCAGTCAGCAAGCAGCATGTGCAGTCTTCAAGGAACTCTCATACTTTCTGAGATTCGATCACACGTCATCCAGTGATGCAGTCAGTGACGTTATTCGGGCTCATGATTGACCTCCTGTAGGATTGTATTGAATATTTTCGATTGTACACTAGTGAGTAACTAGTGTAATGTGTCCAGTCCTATCTTTGATACAAGAATAGAACTTGTGCACTGCGGGAGAGTATAATTCCATTATGGGTAAAATTTTATTTTGATAAAGTCTCACAGTGTTATACAGCAATATTTACTGATGACGTTTCCAGCACAATTTATTACTGATCATAATCATATCAAGGTATGGACAATGAATTTTGCTCGAAACGTCATCAGTAAATATTGCTGTATAACACTGTGGGACTTTATCAAAATAAATTTTGTCCATAATGACTAGTCCTATCTTTCGTGGAGACTGAATTCAATCATTCACTTTTGCAATGTGGCTACTATTCTAGGAAGAACCTAGAAAACATGGATTTCGCGCGTGGATGATTTATGCTTGATGTCACACAAAATCGAAGACTTACAAGCGAAAACCGAAAAACTGGTCGAAGAAGCAGCCAACGAAGACAGGACTCCAGGTGAACATAGACAAGACGGAGGTTTTGAAATTAACCAACCAACAACAACAACAGCAGAAACATCCAGCGTCAATCACCATCAACAGGAGGAATTTGAGAGAGGTTACTTCATTCACTTATCCAGCTAGAGAGCATTGTCTCAACTACAGACAGTCGGAACGGACGAGGATGTCAAATCGAGAATCGGGAAGGCGAGAAACACATTCATCAACCTGAAACCAATCTGGAAATCTTCGTCACTCAGCCAGCATCAACAACAAAATTCGGTAAGATTTTCAATACAAACGTCAAGTCAGTTAGTTCTTCTATGCGGATCAAAAACTTGGCGGGTGGGTCACAAAGAAAATTTCCAACAGCCCGTTGCAGACCTTTATCAACAGCCGTCTTCACTGGCTCTATACTGAAGATCAGATGGCCGGGTCTGGAAGAATCACCAACAAGAAACTGTGTGAAGAAACAAACAAAAACAAGAACCAATCGACAACCAACAAATATGCAGGAGAAAGTGGAGATGGATTGGACACTCCTTTGCTGAGGAGGCCGCTGGGTGACATAGCGCGCGCGTCAGGCCATTGCTCGAAGGGAACCAGGCTGAAAGGGAAGCGGCAAGTGGGACGTCAGTCCAAAGGTGACATGGAGGAGATCGTGTGAAGTGAGAGGAGTTGAAAGAGTATGGACTAAGATGGATGGAGGTGAAAAGTACAGCAGAAGGAAGACAGAAGCAAGTTGCGACGTGTAGTTGAAGCCCTATGTTCCACTAGGAACCCAAAGGAATAATAATAATAATTCTAGGTAGCTCGCAATCACGACGCACTGTGAATTGTTCGTATAAGATGGTGACCACACTGCAAACATGACTGATAGAATCCAGTTTGCACCGAAGATAGCACTAGACATACACATTGCACTAGTTATCAACTAGTGTTCAATCAAAACTAAGACTGTATTTGTAGAAAGAACTTCAGTTAATTGCAAATCAGACTTCCTCAAGACCCATCACAGGTTTTAATCAATTGAAAAATACAAAAGATTTCAAACTCCACTGGCTAGTGTTTGAACAACGATATCAGCCGATATAAGCACTCCATTCAGTTTGCCTACAGTTAATAAGTCAACTTATCATTTAGAAAGCTTATCATGAAATCGTTTGATGATTAACGAAAGAAAAATGTGTCATTTTACCTTTAATGATGCATGGACTCCAAAATACAATAATTAAGCTTTCCAAATGTATAGGAACACAGTTTCACTAACTGAAAAAGTCAGTGAATTCCAGCTGTTGTAAGTTATGTATAACTCACTTCTGTAAAACGTAATGAACTTCGAATCACTCTAGCACTTGCAATTGACGTAGAGCTTTTAAGCTAGAGTAACGAATCAAGACTTCAACAAAAACCTCGCACTGTACAAATCATTAATCCATCCTAGTTTCCGGTCAAAATGTTTCGTAATATTTCTCATTTAGTTGAGTCGATAGCATATTAAGTTAAGTGATCCCCCATACGGCTTCCTTATTTACTGCTAACGCTACTAAAAACAAATTAAAAAACATGGTTGTTTTGCAAATGACAGTAACCATCGGTATTATTGACAAGCAGTTCAAGAGGCTTCCTTAAATCCCTTGGCTACCTGAAATCCCATCCAACACACTATTCATACGATTTTCTCCATTTGTCTTTATTCTAACCACTTAATCATGTCAATGGGTCGCATAGTGTTCTAATGCCCATTTTCAATCGGATTTCAACCTATTAATGCATATTTTTTGTAGACGAAAGATAAATGCCAAAAGGGATTATTTCATTCTTCAGTTTGAACACCATTGTGCCACATGATGTTCGTTAGATTGCTATTTTACTCGAAGACCCTGGATGAAAACAAAATTGTTATACAGTAAACTGCGCTGAAAATTCTGTATATTGTGTAAGAATATTTTGCAGAACGAAGCTGTTATTACTGTATATGCAGCTACCACAATTGACAATAATGGAAATGTTTAGATTATTTAATAACAGAAGTTTAATAATGAGATCTTGCATTGTTAAGTGAATTAGCTCATCTGGGATTGATTTCTCGTCCCAAAAAAGATACTTCTGCTTAGTCAAGAATTCAGAGGTGGCACTGAAGCAGAAATCCTTCGTAAATGTCTCTGCAAGTCTCTGAGGAAAGCGTACGTCACCACAAGCCTACAACTGACGTTTTCCTGCAGGAAACTGTCCAACTAGGACGCGAAAGACAAGCTGTCTCATTGGGCCACTTCAACGTGCATATGCCAGTTTACTTGCTCGTGCTTAGCTGAGTACATCGGCCATATCAAGCGCCGGCTTGAAAAACGTGCTCGTGAACACTATCAAGCCTGACCAGTAAAACGAAAAGAACGGAAACGTGTATATCGTTCAGTGACAGAACATCTGGTTAGTTCAGGACATTTAGAGCCATTCGGAAAATACTTCAAAGTAATTTACAAGAATCGATCAAACCTATCGAAGGGAGTAAAATTAAGACTTCTGGGTATAGCCAAGGCACTAGCAATTCAAAAACTCAAACCTACGCAATGTATCATTCATATAAAAATAAAACCTGAGCTGTGCGGTAGAATATAATTCCATTATAGAAAAAATTCCATTTTGATAAAGTCTGACAGTGTTGTACAGTAATATTTACTGATGACGTTTCGAGCACAATTTATTGCTCATAATGATGCTTTGTATCCAAATGAAATACGCCCAACTCTTGTCTCTGCCGTGGCCATCATAAACAGTTCTTTTAACAGTGACTATCCTATTGCCTTTCTCAACCAAACTTCCTGTTTATTCACGTTGTTTTTAAGTTTTTCTTAATTCTTATTTACACTGCCATATTTTCATACCCAAACTTCGTGTTTATTTTGTCATTTTACTATTTCTACATATTTAATCCCTAACCGCATAAACAATTATTCATCATATTAATCATGTTTTTTAATTCATGGAAAATTCCCATTGTGACACAGAAAATCTCTTTGCTGAATCACTTGTTTTGATTTTCTATACATTAGTTATGATCCCACTAGATTTTTTATCCGAACATCCTGTCTATTTTTGTTATTTCTACATTTCTAACCCGTAATTGCACAATCAATGTCAATCTTCTCAGTCATTATGATGCTACTTTGTTTGAGTTTTATCCGTCCCCCTGTTCATTATGTCATTTTAATTCCTAATTGTAATTTTATCAATTTCACCCTTGACCGGAAACTATTCTGAAACTTTCTCACCCATTTATTATAAATACAAACGAATGTACAGCCTAGTTGATGACTTCGTCGAAAAGAGAATTTTATTCGCTGCAACTGCCTTTTTATTATTCTCTTCCTTCTATTGAGGCGCATACATAAAATCAGATAGACGTTGAATATTATAGAAATCAGAAACTTTTTTTAACCAATTTCTTTGGTTTTAGGAAATTATTTGTGATCAACTGAAACCTTAATTTTTGTTCATTTTTCTGAAAAGCATTTATATTCGGAAGAACAGTCAAGTCATCATTAGATAACTGAAAACTGAGAACGATGTGTGTCGGTGGCAAGGTGGTTAGGACTCTCGCCAACCATGCACATGGTACGAGGTTCGATCCCCTGCCGACGCACCCCGGATATCTATGGTAGGCCTGCAAAATTTGGGCTACCGATATCCATGCTGAAATTTCCATACTTGTATCAAAAATACAGTGTGGAATCAAGCTGTAAATAAAAAATTAAAAAAAATCAATCTAGGTTCCAGTAAAAGTAGTATATTTGTTCGACCACTTCTATGGTATTTTAATAATCCATCCCTACACACTTCTTAAAATTTCACTTGTGATACGCATGTATATAGTGGTAGTAGATAACAGAATAGCTTGCCTAACAAATATGCGTTGGTGACGCAGCGGCTGAATGGTTGTCGACCACGAATGTGGTCCGGGGTTCGATCCCCAGCCAACGCACTTCTTTACCACTCTAAGCCAGTAATAAGACCGGCAAAGAGGCAAGGTTGGGCATGAGACTAACAGCCCCATCCAGTTAAAATAAAAACCACTGCTATCGAAACTTCAAGAGTTTATCTTGAAGCCCTATGTTCCACTGGGAACGTAAAAGAATAGAAATTTTAAAAAATTATTTAACAAAACCAATACCAAAAACTCAGCTTGAAACTTTAATGTGCAAAAATTATTTGCATTCTTATTATTCTGTCGTCATTTCCAGCTTTCTGAATTGTTTTACTAAAATCTCTCATTTTTCTTCTTTGTAGCTTAATTTGTCACTCTTCTTTTCAAAATTGCTTCCAGAAAACGGTCCTGATATACTATTCACACTTTTATGCCATTAGCACATGCTACACTGTCATGTTTTATTGATGTTCAGTTCATTCATCCGTCTCCTAGCAATATTACTATCTGCAGCTAATGGACAGAGAACTACTATTCTTTTTAGCATCTATAAAACTATGAAGTTTATCAAATAATCTTGTTTTTAGTGGTGGATATAAGCTCTGTGCTGATTTTTGAGAATACCGCTAATTTGGATTGGTTTATAGTCTCACTGGTTAGACTATCAAAAATTGATGGCTAGTCAAACGTTTTAATGATGAAATAGTAACACAAAGTTCGTATAAAACGAAGCTAATGAGTGTGTAGCATTCACTGTGCATCACTGAGACACTGTAAGAATAAAAGACATCAGCATCTAGACAAGCGTAAAATACTATTGTATAAGTTTTATGTTCCATCAAATCTCGCCTATATTGCAAACATTCCCACGGGATGTAATAATAATAATAATTTACTTTATTCCAAAAACAGTACTTGTGATACAGAATGGAATTTTCAGCATTAATCAAAATATTGCACCTAATTTCCTCAAATTAGAAATAAAATTAATCACACAGAAAATTTTCCACATTTACAATAGAGGTTATGTCAAAAATATGCAGCATATATAATGGAAATAATAATAATGATAACAGCTAAGGTAATAATAATAATACAAGTGAAAATTGCTGTGGGCTTGTTTCATACAGTATTGTCGATGTGGTATAGAAACCTTAGCTTGTTTAAAAATTATTGAATATAATGTTCTCTTTACACGATATGGTGAGGGGTTTAACGAAGATTATATAAGTCATAAAGATAAGTTGGTGTTTGTAATTATGAGAGTTAAACAGAGAAGTAACAGGACCATAAATATAATAGAAATAATAAAAGTAAAACTTGAAGGTACATAAGGATGGATGGATGGAGGAAATTGTTTATTTATTAGACGAAAAAAGGTTAGTTAATTCTAGCCTGACACTATTTTCATCACATAAAATATGTGCCAAGTAAGGTATCATAGAATTTCTGTACTTAGACGTGCGAGCATACATTTTTCTGAAGTTACTTCCTGTTCTACCTGAGGCGGAGATGCTAGGTGAAAGGAAGCTGAGGGTAAAGTAGATGCTCCAAGTCAGACAAAATCCCTCTAGCAAATTTATTGCACGAAGTCAAGTGCCTGTAGACAACGACGTTAACTATGTGGCCCACTGAGACACCACTCATCATACTGACTGTCTTCATCATTCTACGAAATGTGACATAGTCCTTTTTAAGCAAACCAGGAAAGAATAAGGGTGCACAATAAAGAAGAATAGGTAGGATGCAAGAGTTTATAAACTGTAAGAGGAGGAAGGGTTGAGTTATACCCGAGTGTCTTAACTTCTTAATGTAAAATGTCAGGTGGAATATTTTACCGGAGATGTAACGTGATTCCCGTGGAAATCCATCATCTAATATATGTCGCCACACTCATTCTAAGCGTAACGACAGTGCTAAAACACCCTATTCAGTATTGAATATTTACAGTCTCTGTAGTAAACAGATTTCAGTGACAAATGGAATATGTTGCTCCTTCATACACATCTATTCGCTATCTGATACAGTTGCTGTTGACATTCGCCTACAGTATGCTGACTGAAGAAACCACATGAAATTTGAGCATATTATATTTTAAAAAAACAATAATAAATAATGCAAGATCACTCACCATTCTTATCGATAGACTGAGCTGCATAGAATCCGATGACTAAAACTGCTATTGTGTTAACAACGTGAAATGTCCTCTTGATGAACATGATTAATAATATTTTACTGTGATGTTAACTTGCTTGTGTGGATGTTTAAGTGCCAACTATTAATTAAGATAATATATGTTCTTTGTGACATACACATCTTCAGAGGTAGATAGATGTAAAATTTTGTAGACGAATGGATAAAAGTACAACTTAAACTAACCAATCATGTTATAGGGAAGAAAATCTAGTCTATTCCCATATTTTTTTCTTATTCGAATGAAGGTCGTGACTCTTAAGAAAATACATAGAATAAATCTAGTCTAGAAATAAGACAAATGAAGGTCAGTGGACTTGACTAAGCCTATTCGCATCACTGATTGGCTAAACACAGGTTTAAGGAATTTGTTTATCAATAATGAGAGACGTTAGTCATACTGAAACTGAAATAAATACATAACTGAAATTTTAAAGTATAGATACATTGAGACCAGTCGAACAGTCATCAGTGAAATATTAGTAGTTTGATCAGACACTGCGAAATCACTAAAGTCATGTGCAGGCTGAATTCTATCAGTCACGTTTGCAATGTAGCCACGATTCTAGGTGACTCACCATCCCTGGGGACGATGAATTGTTGTTACATGGTTTCTGTATTGAAGGAATTCAGTCAAAACCAAAAGCCAAGGGCTGGAGGCATGACATGAGTTGCTACCTGGTGTCCGATCAAAGTATCCATTACAGTCCTACAGGAAGTTAATCATGAGTCCGGACAGCTCAGTAATAACATACTCTGACCACAGCAATGGGTGGACCGAATGACGAGTGCCAACATGTACGAAACTTAGGTCCAAGGCACCCTACCACCTGCCTCCAACCACCCGATAACGACAACTTAGAAACACTATTGAGCTATTCATTATAATAAAAGTTTTTTGTATTTCCCAATGAATGAACAAGAAAACGATATTACTGTTTTTACTGACATTTCGCTATTTAATGATACTGTTAATAGCTTTATCAAAGAATTTTTAAACCAGAGTTGACAAAATCTTAGCCCATACATAACAAGTTAATCATCGTTCCTCAGAATGGCGTCATTTTTACGTTGTCGAATTGACCAATTGGTAACGATAATAAAACCAGGTGTAGATTATCCTTGGATTTGATAGGTGTGTAAAATTATAAGAGCAGCGTGTGTTTACATAGTAAAATTGCCTATCGCATTCGTATTGATTTTTTCTTTTCATGGGGGTTGGGTGGGTGTTATAACCAGGTCAAATTCTGTTTGAGTGAATCATTCCTATTCAGATAATTAGGATTCCACTTGATATGAAGTACTATCGATGATATCAGCCGTTCTTTGTGATTTCTAAAATGCTTTCTCTGGATGATGATTTCAATATTGTCAAAGTTAGTTTGGTGGCCTGATTGTATAGCGTAGCGCGTAGACGACCTGTGGGTGATGATTTTTAAAGCTTTTCAAGCTCAACTGAATTTCTGGTTGACTGAACACGGATGCTCCACGGTGTTAATTTCTTCTGATTATGATTTCTCTCTGGTGAGGTTTGTCCGATGTATATCGCATCCCAATCTAAGCATTTCGTTTTATGGACAAAATTATTTAGAGAATCTTTAGATATTTGGTCTTTTATATAGACAAGGTTGCTTCGCAGTGTGTCTGATGCTGTGAAGAAAACTCTGATATCGAGCTTATTTAGTACTCTTGTGATATAGCCTGACATCTCCACTCTATATGAAATGACAACTGTTGAGGTCAATGTTTTTGAAACGCGTTTTCGACCATACTTAATGCCAGTGTTCATTTTGTTGATGAAGTTCCTTGGGTAGTTGTTTTCTTTGAGAGTTTCAGTAATGTTTGATATTTCTTCTTCCTTTTCCTGCTCATCCGTTATCAGAGAGTGTGCTTGTCTAAGAAGACTTGAAACACCTGATACCTTTGCTCTGATGAGGTGTGATGATTTGAAGTCTAAATATATATTGGAGTGGGTTTTCTTGCTGAATATGGATATACAAAAATGTCCGTTTTCCCTCCTCTTAACTAGACAGTCTAGAAATGGCAGCTCACCAAAGTCTGATTCTGCTTCCGAAGTAAACTGGATTCTGGGAGATAGATTGTTCAGCTTCTTCAAGAATGAAATGTGCAGATCTCGTTTTAACACTACAAAAGTATCATCTATAGATCTTAACCATATTTTAGGCATGAGTATACTTGAAAAGATGTTATCTTCGAATCTATTCATGAAAAGATCAGCGACTATTAGGGAAATTGGTATACCCATAGCAAAACTATCTGATTTGATAATACTTTGATAAAGCTATTAGCATTAAAAAGCGAAAGGTTAGTAATTACAATATCTTTTTGTTTTTCATTCATTGTTAAATAAAAAAAGCCTTTATTATAATGAATATCATATACCTAATGCCCAAATTATTTTCATACTGTTAAAGGTGGACTTGGTTTCGAAGGATATATAACTGTTGAGTTAAGTTTCTGAATAAGGAGAAATAAAAGGACATGCAAAGTGAAACCATTTGCTTAAAGTGTTGTCACTTCCGCAGAGTTTGAGACATTATTGATAGCTGATATATATATATATATATATATATAACCGAATTCACCAATTAAAACAAATTTGCTAAGCAACCGTAACAATATTTTTCACAATCTTTGATGAAAAAAGGTTTATTCGAAATATCTAGTAATAGAGTTCATGAATCATTCAGAACAGATTTCTCAATAAGTGTTTGCGAACAAACACGCACATCAAAACTATTTATCAAATGCCTAGTTACTATTTTTACGCCTATTAGAACAACAGGAAAAGTTCATGTTTTTCAGTGATTTCTTTCTGAAAACTCCTCAATCTCTCTTAGAAATAAAAGGTCAGTAACAATATTTGGATAAGAATTGAAATACAGATATGAGGTACTGATAATAAGTTATTCCTCCCAATTGTATATATAGAAGCATAGATGACATTTTAACATTTAGTAGATAACTATAATCTAGCCTTCTGTACCTCTTATTATTTAAACTAATAAGTTTTCATATTTTCAACTTATATCATTGACAAATTCACAAGTGAATTTATTTCTCTGTACATATGTGAACAGTTAAGTTATTTCTTAGAGAGAGAGATTTGAACAGGTGGTGAAAATGAACTTTATAAAAAGATGTTATAACAGCTACCTGCTGGGAGGAAAACATGTTATTTTTGTAAAAGAAATCTAAAAACAGAAAACAGTTTTTAACTCAGATAAATAAATTTAAATGAGGTTGGGAAACACTGCCAGCCAATTCTGGATAAAAAAGATTATATATTACTGTTTTAGGACATCAGTCAGATGTACTTATCACATGAGTTGTTAACAATAATAATAAGAACTTTCACTTAAGTGTCACCAGATTCTTCACACCTTCAATCAAAATTTCGAAGGTTAAGATAAAATATAAAAGGACAAATTATTGGCACGGCACAATACTATTATTATCCTCTTGGGTTCCAGTTGGAATGCTGAGACTAACCAGCACATCGCCAGTTGATTTCTTCCTATGTAGTCGTATTTAGTTGACTGGATGATCATCTATAAGAAGTCATCTTCTCTTCACACTATCTTATCCTCAGACTCACAGCAAACTCGGCCCTTCCTATCAAGATTCCACTGGAGGGCTTAGCACTTGGTTTCACTCAGTGGTCCCCTGAGTGTGTGTGTCCTGTCCATTTCTATTTTACTTCTTTAGATTAGTTTGGCAGTAGGCTCATAGTTAGTTCATCTCCAGAGTTCTTATTCTTTCTGACTGGCAATCTGATCTTCACTGTCGAGCCAGCGAAGGCAGCTGTTGCTGAAAGTCTACAGAAGCCTGTCAGATATGCTTTTCGTGAAGTACGCGTTGTCTCCGTGTCTTATAGAAATAAAAAATTGTCACTGGTGTTGAAAATCTGAGTCTTCTGCTTTATGCTTAGTGTGCCAGATTTTACACAAGTATTTCTGAGCAATGAATGCCTATAATGCATAATATAAGAAGTTGTTAAACTACGTAAAAATACCAATGATGAAAGTAGAAATAGTTATAATAATCTACTTTATTCCCAAAACAGTACTCATAATACAAAATGGAATTCTCAGCATTTGTCACAATATTGCATCTGATTTACTTAAAATATAAATAAAATTAAAAATCAAAACAAAATTAACTACAGGAATTTGTCCACGTTTACGATGTGAAGTCAAAAATATTCGAAGTCAAAAATATTCATGATGAAATCCTCAAACCAATCAAATCCCTAAAAACCAACACTTGAATACCAATGAGATGCTCACTGACGACTGGCCCTATTCAGGTAGGTAGTTACCTGGGTTCCAGTGGAAAGTCGTGACCAGTAGGGTGCAGCTGGTCGAGTGTGAGGACAAATACTCACCGAAGACATTGGCTAGCGGTCGCGCTATGTCGTGAATTGGCAGAAGTTAGAATTCAAGGACTGGCCATTGGATCGGCTCCCAGTGGCTTAATGGTATACGAGCTCGCCTTGTAACCGGAAAGTCGTGGGTTCGTAACCTGGCGATGGGTGCGTACTGATGAAGAGTTCCAAACTAGGACGAAACAGCTGTCCAGTACTCCCAGGTGGTTTTCCAACGGTTGTCTAACTAATGTCAGCTCATGATGAAGTTCTGAAACATAATAATAATAATAACAGTCAGTTTGTTTCAAATAGTATTGTCGATTCAGTTTGGGAATATTAGCATGTTAGAGATTATTGAATCTTTACGTTCTGTTGATATAATATGGTGAGGAGAAATACAAAATTAACTGTTATAACATAGCTTAAATTGTGTTCACAATTATGAAAAAAAGTTGAGAGGATTTTAAATATAAGAAGTACAATAACAATAAAGGTCGATGTTCTAAGGGTGGAGGAAATGGTTTATTTAGTAGTGCAAAGAAAATAAAAGACAGATTCAGCGAAGAAGATTTTCTTTATCGACGAAATCATCTTCAGAGGCTGTACAGAGTTCAACAGCTGCCATCACGCCATCAA